TGGCAAGAGCTTTGGCAGTGCATGGCATGAGGGGCCAAAGGTAACCCCTCTTGGAGCCAGTTGAAAGGACTCTTAAGGAGAACCTACTCACAATTTTTTGGTTTATTTTATGGGGAGGGGGCTTTAATGAAACCTCCTCTCATGACTACTAAATCATCAGAAATATTTACTGCCCATGAATGGTTTCTGGTATTTTAGTTTGTTGTGAACACCAAGGGGCAGGATGAATGTCACATTATATTTAATCCTCTAATGATTCATAGCTACAGTTAGCTAGAGGCCCTGTGCATTTGATTTGCATTATATTGAATAAAATTCCTAACTCCATACATTGTAGATTTCAGAACATTCCCCCAAATTTCTGCTAATTCCCATAGAAACAAATTCTTAGCAAAATGAATTCTCAGTGGTGGCTTTCAGCAAATCTACTAAATGACATCACTTTAGATACATTCCAATTAAAAATATCAACAAAACAAAGTTGGTCATGCTCATTCGAAATATTTCACATTATTGCCAATGCAATAATATAAGAACTTGATATAAACACATAAGCATTGGAAAGAAAGGATATCATTTGTACACATTTGTACAATACAGAGGAGGAAAAAACAACCCATGAGGCCAGGCATGGTGGCTCACTCCTGTAATCCCAGCCCTTTGGAAGGCCAAGAAGGACAGATCACTTGAGGTCAGGAATTTGAGACCAGCTGGCCAACATGACAAAGCCCTGTCTCTACTAGAAATACAAAAATTAGCTGGGTGTGGTGGCACGCATCTGTAATTTCAGCTACTCGGGAGGCTGAGGCATGACAATTACTTGAACCAGAGAAGTGGAGGTTGCAGTGAGCCAATACTGTGCCACTACAATCCAGCCAGGGTGAGAGAGCAAGACTCTGCCTCAAAAACAAACGACAAAAAGTCACCCATGAGACTACAAGTTATTAAAACTAAAAAGTTCAGGAAATTTGTTGAAACAAGAGCAATATATGTAGATAATTTTCCTATTCTTTAATAAAGTGAAAAAAATGTTATAGAAAGAGATAGCATTTTCAAAAGCAGAAGCAACAATAACAACAAATCAATATACCTGCCTGAGTGAGAAATCTAACAAAAGATTACAAGAATTTTATGGAAAAAAATGACAAAGTATCAATGAAAGCCATGAAAGAAATCTGAATAAATTGACAATTGATTTCATATACCATGACTCAATATCATAAAGGTATCAACTTTCTCTCAACATGATCTTTAATATTCTTACCATTTTAATCAAACTACCAACAAGATGTTTTTTTTTTTTTATGTGAAACGTGATGAAAATGATTCTTGTAAAGAGGAGTAAAAAGTTTTAGAAAAGCCAAATGACACTGAAAGGGAAGAGCAAGAAGAGAGCAAAAGAATGATTACATACCAATAACAATGGGAAGAGAGTTATTGGCACAGCAATAGATCAATAGAACACTCTGGAGAGCTCAGACCCAGGCCGAAGCATAGGAGGGAGGTGGTACTAGAAATCAGTGGGCACATGATGGATGCACCCTCTGTTTGGTTTTGAGACAAACGATTTACTATATGAAAAAAGTCTGAGGTCACTATTTCATATCCTACATGAAAACAAATTCAAATGTATTAAAGACATATACAAAAAGCAAATTGGAAAAACTATCAGAAATAAATATAAACACACAATGTTCTCACTTATTGGTAGGATTTAAAAATTAAAACAGTTGAACTCATGGACACAGAGAGTAGAAGGATGGTTACCAGAGACTGGAAAGGGTAGTTGGGGCTGAGAAGGAGGGAGGTAAGGATGATTAATGGATGCAAAAAAAAAAAATGAATGAATAAGACCTACTATTTGATAGTGCAATAGGGTGACTATAGTCAATAATAACTTAATCATACATTTTAAATTAATTGAAGGGTGTAAGTGGATTGTTTGTTACTCAGAGGATAAGTACTTGAGGGAATGGATACCCTCACAAAATTAATAATTATAAACACATAAATTTATCATGAGATACAGAAATTTTTCCTTGTTTTTTTTTTACACGTGAAAAGATGCACAACCCCACTATTAAAGAGGAATTTCACATTAGGATAATGAATTACTAGTTAATATTCATCAGATTGGCACACAATTTAAGATTCTGGCAATATAAAGTTAGGTGAGAATAAAGGGAATGTGAAATATTTTATTAAGTTGGTGGGAGTATAAATTAGTAAAATTCTTCCTAGAGCAATTTAGCAAAATCTAATAAAGTTGAAGATACAGGTACCATACAACTGAACAAATACCTATAGGAATTTTAGAAGATTTTAAAAGTTTAGGTGTGAGCCTCAAAGGAATCTTTGTATGTATGTACAAGTAGACATGCACAAGGATAATCATTGGTATAGATATAACATTTTCTTGGATGCATTCAAAGACTTGGTAAACTTTTTAAAAGCAAAAAATAAAATTAAAAAAATTTAAAACAATTTTTTCATCTACATTGTTGAAGAGCAAAACATTAATAGGGGAATAAATAAGATACAGTAAATTTATATAATGAAATACTACATAGTAGTTAAAGTGACTGAATTAGATCTCTCTATATTACTGTAGTAAAATCCCCCAAATTATACTAAGTCAAAAAGAGCAGGGACCTTTAGCATGATACCATTTATGTAACTTAAAAGCACACACGCTATTTTAAATATATATATATATATATATATATGGATCCATATGCATGTAAACAAAGTATAAAATGAGATCCAGAATGATTTATTACAATATCAGATCAGAACTGCAAAGACAATCACAGGGAACTTCAAATTTATGAATTTTTCTCTGTGGTAATGTGAAATAATACAACAAATGTTAACATGCATTCATTCTGCATGATTAACATATGGGTGCTTTTTAACATTATGCTTTCTGTATTTTAACATGTTTTTAAAAACAAAATGTGTTTAGCATAAATTGGACATATGATGTGTACATGTTTCTTTAAAATTATCCTATTTGTTAGTCTCTAGGCTCCTCTGTAGCATGTTTGAGAGGCACAATTTAAAACAAGGCAACAATTTTCAGGTAGAAGATAGATTTCTTTCTATCGAAGATTCTTCCGTAACTCAGCAAACTAGCCTATTTATTAATGTAGGGTATATGGAGCAGAATTGAACAGCTTCCAAGTATAATTACTTTTTGTTTTGTCTGTTTTTGTTTTCTTTGCCAACTATTGAGTGTGTGCTAATGGTAGCAAATATTCCAGTAGCAGGCAAATTAAAGAGATACTGGGTAATTAATAAACCATATAACCTTCCCTCAAAGAATCATGCTACATATCCTTTCAAGGAGATGAACTGGTAATTCAGAGATCACTTGATTCAATCAATCAGCAACCAATCATTGATAACATCTTTTTCTTTGGGGCCATGTTTTGCTGTAGAAATCAAAGAAAAAATCATACAATTCTGATGTATATCTGTTCATACTGAAAATTTAGTGAATGGAAAATTAAAAAGTTATGTAATGATGTGCAAAGATTGTAGAGGTATCAAAGCAACTATCTTTGAATTACTACTACAAAATATACCCATACAGTGAAGTGTTTTGTGTTGAATAGCAAATGTCACTGAATAATCAAGATGAGTTGCCACCATTATATTATAGAAAAGTACCTCAAAAAAATTTGAAATCAAATTTCTTTGGAAAATAAGTTGTTCTGAATAAGTAAAACAGCGAAGGTTGTCATTAAAAAACATAATATACTTCTTGAAAGCTTCAAATTTAAGTCATAAAGTACTAAAGATTATAAAGGACAAAATTTGTTACATCTATCTAATGTATCTATATCTAAAGCTCACACACATGCACAGAGTTTATTGCTGAAAGAGGCCTTCAATTTCAGACCCATATTTTTACAGATGAGGAAACTCAGGCACAGAGTTACATAGCATACAATTTTATAAAAAAGAAATATTTTCAGTACTTTACAAAATTTTCATCATTCCACTTCTAAAAGGTACTGTTTTCGGGGTGCTATTTCCCAATGATGTGCTCACATACTAACACGATGGTTGTCATACTGTTTTACGGAGAACCTTGTGATTTTGTGGTGTCTTAAAGATCTCAGGCAAAGAGAAAAGGAAGAATAAGGGGGTCATGAGCAGTGGAAATTGCTACATCCTCTTCACCTTGGGCGGATCTATTTTTATGCATTTTATATATTGGGATTCTGCTTAAGATTTCACTTTTTTTTTTTTTTAAATAAGCTCTTCTTTCCTAAATCAAAGTGTGTGAGTCATTACAATTTCACCAGGATATTGCTGGTGTATTAAACAGGCTTTCTCCAATAGTTGAGGGTCTGGTTTCTTCTTGGCTTTATGTTCTTCTACTCTAGTTCTTGTTAAACACTTGTAGACATCTGATGAACTTCGTGGACTCTCTCCCCAGAAAAAATCATACAGACACCACACAATTTTGTGCCAAATGTAGCAAGTACATGGACTTCCTAAAATCCATTCACAGATCCTGTGTTAATCATACTAACTCTAAAAGCTTTATTTAGAGGACTTAAGAAACTTCCAACAGAGAAAGTTTGGAAAAGATGGAATTTTTTCAATACGCCATAACTTGTAAGACCAATTTTTGCTGCCTGATGAAGAAACAAAAAGTATTTTTCATGGAACTCATACTCTTGCTGGCCACACTGTTCTTTTGATTCATCGATTCATTCAACAGATATTTATCAAGAATAGGTATTTATCCAGCACAGTGGAAGACACTGTGCTAGGGGAAATGTAAGTGAATGGTTGACAATACTTGCTTTAAGTGCCATCTATTCTTGAGAATATGCATCATCTTTAACACTTAGCAAATTTTAATCGCTTAACCCACTAGTTAACACATGTGCATGCGTGTGCACATGCACGCACGCACACACACACACACACACACACACACACACTCCTTACTCTCCACTGGAACAAGTGCTCTTTTAACTGACCTGGGGCTCGATTAGGTCTGGTTGACCGAGACCTGGGCTGTCTACCCAAGCTGCCTCCAGTGATGCATGTATTGTGTGGTTCAATCAGAGGACAGTAAGGATGTGCAGAGACATAGGGATTCTGGCACCAAGGGCTGCGATTGGGGAAAACGGTTGGTGGGATTTCCTTCTCTCTGTAAAAGAAAAAAGCCTAAATGGAACTCAAAAGCCATTTTATGCTGTGGCGTTAGTGTTGAAGGCACAATTAAAGTGAAAGCATATTTCAAGGCCAAGAGAATATGACTTTTTAGACTTTGTGGGAAGGACGTTTATTATTACTTCAGAAGCATTTGCCTACAAATGAATAATATATTCTGCACCTCTGTCCACAGCCAGCTCTTGATCCAAGATAAAATTCCTGGATGTACACCTCTCCCTCCACCTAAGCACTGCTAAAGATTTGAGGATACCTCACCTCTTCACCTCTCTGCAACAACCTTGCTTCTTAATAACAGTGCCTGTGAAAAGTGAAATGGCCAGAGAGGTCTCAGTACTACCTAGTGAAGATCACCAGCCTTCATTGTCCCATGAGTATTTTCCTGCTCATTCTGTTTTTCTGCTTTTCCCGAGTCCTATTCAAAATAGTCGTTTCCAAAAATCACTATTAATTTATATATCACACATCCATTTGTCATCTAGTCATTCCCACATGCTCAGTTACCAATTGTGGGAAGGACTCATTCAAACAAACCAAACAACATTTACCTCTTAAGAAAAACTTCAGCTTGTTCCACCTGATAATTTGAAATGTCGTTCTTAGGTTGATCTTCTTTTTCTTTAGTTATTGTAGTTGTAGATGCTGTCCACTGAAACTTGTGCCTTTGGAATGTTGAAGATACTACTGAACATCTGTTATATTCAATGTCAGTCTCTAATTTCTCCCATGCTTGCTTCCAGTGGATAGGAGTGTACCAGGCAACAGCCTAATGAAAATGATTTATTAATGTCGACTGTGTGCATTTGAGGTTTACAACATGCTGTTATGAGATACATATAGATAGTAAAATGGTTATTGTGGTGGAACAAATTAAGATATTTACCATCTTACCTAGTTACTCTTTTATGACAAGAGCTACTTAACAAAATCTACTTAACAAAAATCCCCAATATGATAAAATTTCATTAACTATAGTCCTCATGTTGTAGACTGGATCCCTAGACTTCCTCATCCTACGAATCTCTGCTACTTTGTATCCTTTGACCTACATCTCTCCGTTTTCTCCCCGGCTCCCATCCTGTGAACCAGTTTTATTCATTTTCTCCCCTGCTCCCATCCTGTGAACCACAGTTTCATTCTCTTTCTCTGAATATTTGACCTTTTAAAAATTCCCCATATAAGTGAGATCATGCAACACTTTTCTTTTTGTGTCTGACTTATTTTACTCAGTATAATGTCCTCCAGGTCCCTCCATGTTCTTTTTTAAGGCTGAATAATATTCCATCGTGTATATCTACATTTTCTTTATCCATTTTTCTGTTGGCAGACACTTAGGTTGTTTCCATGTCTTGGCTATTATGAATAATGCTGCAATGAAGATGGGTGTGCAGATACCTTTCCAAGGTGGTGATTTCATCTTTTTTGGGTATGTACCCAGAAGAGGGATTACTGGGTTGTATGGCAGCTCTACTTTTACTTTTTAAAGGGATTTCCATATTGTTTTCCATAAAAGCTTCACCAATCTACATTCCTGCCAACCATGTACCGGGGTTCTCTTTTCTCCATACATTTGTTGCTGTATCTCTGTCTTTTTGGAATGCCATCCTTATGAAGTGTGAAATGATAGCCCACAGTGATTTTAATTTGCATTTATCTGATGCGTAGCGAAGTTGAGCACCTTTTAATATATCTGTTGGCTCTTTTTTTAATGTCTTTGGAGAAATGTCTGTTCAGGTCTTTTGCTTGTTTTCTAAATCAGGTTGTTTTTCTGCCATTGAGTTGTAGAAGTTCCTTATACATTTTGAATACTAGCTTCTTCTCAGATATGTGGTTTGCAAACATGTTTTTCCTAGTTGGCAGGTTGATGTTTTATTTTGTTGATTGTTTCCTTTGCCGTGTAGAAACCTTTTAGTTTGACATACTCCCTACCCCCTTTTATTTATTTTTGTTTTTGTAGCCTGAGCTTTGGTGTGAGACCAAGAAATCACTGCAATGGACTACGTCAAGGAGTTCTTCCCTCATGTTCTTTCCTAGCAGGATTATGGTTTCAGGTATTACATTTAGGTCTCTTATCCATTTTGAGTTGTTTTTTGTTTACAGTGTAAGATACTGTTCAACAGAATTTTAAAAATGGGCTGGGCTCAGTGGCTCACACCTGTAATCCCAGCACTTTGGGAGGCCAAGTTGGGTGGATTATAAGGCCAAGAGATTGAGACTTTCCTGGCCAACATAGTGAAATCCCATCTCTACTAAAAATTCAAAAATCAGCTGGGCATGGCGGCACATGTCTGTAGTCCCAGCTACTTGGGAGGTCGAGGCAGGAAAATCACTTGAACACAAGAGATGGAGGTTGCAGTGAGCC